CGGAAATAAAGTTCCAGACACCAGATGGGGAGACGCAGGCCCCGGTCACACTAGTGGATTTGGGCCGGGAGAGGGACGGTTCGGGGGCGGAGCAAACGGGCATGATCCCACGGCAGCATCTGGGAATCGTTGCCTGTCCGTCCTTGATCCATCCGTCCCTCCCGCCCAAAACCCCGCACCAAAAAAGAACCACCGGAGAAGAGCGCCTCAAGCCCGGCCGTGGGATCGCTGGCGCGTCCTTGTGCCGGCGCATCCCCGGCTCCTGGCCGAACTGCGCATGTGTGAGCATGCGCAGGTCGCCAGCCTCCCCTTCCCACCGTCGCTTTCTCCCCGGCATCTGATCGTGCCGGGGAGCAACGGCGCTGCAGCTCAGGGGATCCGTGGGATCCTGCCACGGCGTCTCTAATTCGGTGCGGCTTTTAAAAGCCGCGCTTTGGGCGTTTTCCCCCCTGCCGTGTGGCAGGGACCAAATAACAGCAAGAGGCTGTGTTTGGGCTTCAAATAGAATATGGCTGGTTGAAAACAGAATGCTGGGCTTTGGGGGCTGGATCCAACACAACATATCCTCTTGCACATGTGGAAATGCAAGAAAAGAACCACAGTAGCTATTTGTATTGCTAAATCAAACTTATCATATCCCTATTTGTGTTTTCACTTGCGCAAGGTATTATGCAACTAATCCCAGAGTTTTAGGAAGTGAAGACTGCATTCTTCATTCTCAAAATAGCTCATCAGGGTACAATATGGAAAATAGAAGAGATTGTTGCACAATCTTACATGTACGATATTGTGCATATGAGCAAACTAGAACGGGAGTCAGAGGTGTGTGGCACAAGAACTTGTGCAATCCCTTCTGCAAGCGGAACTACACAAAGCAGATTACTTTGCTGGCCGCTGGATCCAACCCCTGGCTCTGGTTTGGCAAGATAATTTAGACAAACTCATACAGCAGGATTAAAAGCCAGCTTCCCCTGCATCTCGTGAGATGGTTGAAATAATAGCAAAGACCATGTACATCATTGGTTTGGTGTTAATACTATGTTGTCCAGATGAGGACAAATAGTAACAATAAGGGGAAATCGCAGCAGTTTTCTATGAAAACGTAGCAGAGCTGCCAAAAATGTTCATCATGCTTTTTTTTTTTATTAAAGTCATTATTCAATGAGAGCAAATCCATCTTGGTTCCAGCTGCGTGTTTCCTAGGGGAAAAAAGTATTTCTGGAACAAAATCACAGCTGCTTAAATATTTGGTGCATATTTCCCAATCAACCTAACTTGGAAGCATTTCACCCCCCAGTCTTCATCACAGTGTGGTCTTGATACAGTGCCCATCCAAGCAGTGGGCTGCTTTCCACTGACTTAAGTGAGTCAAATCCTGTTAAGTGCTTTTTTTTTAAAAGGGTTTTTTTTTGGGGGGGTGAAAGAGAGTTTTATATCTTCTTGTCCTCAGCTGGCCCAGCTGTATGTTAAATTCAGCCAACAATATGACTAAGTGCATCAAATTACAGTCAGTGGAACAGCTGTGATTTTGCAACTGCTGGGTTATAAGCAAAGATGTTCCAAAAGAAGCAACATACGCATTTTGTGCCTTGTTAGATGATCTTGCTGCTGTTAACTTTTTAGGGCAGTGATGTGCTGGGATTCTAGATCAAACCAAGCCTGAACTCTCCCTAGAAGTTAAAATGACTAAACTGAGGCTTACTTTGGTCACATTAGGAGAAGACAAGAGTCACTGGAAAAGACAATAATGCTAGGAAAAGTTGAAGGCCGCAGGAGAAGAGGAAGACCCAACATGAGACGGATGGACTCAATCGAGGAAGCCAGGGCCCTCAGTCTGCAAGACCTGAGCAAGGCTGTTAATGATAGGATATTTTGGAGGACATTAATTCATAGGGTCGGAAGTGACTTGACAGCACTTAACACACACACACAAGCAACACACCCCAACAAACCATGGGAAGAACAGACCTTTGCCTTGGAAAAATCAGACAGTGTTGTATAGTGGTTAGAGCACAGGACTAGGCTGTCAGGGGCTTGGGTTCCAAACGTCGCCCTGCAGTCAAGATTGCTGAGTAGCCTTGGGCAAGTCACTCTCTCTTTGTGGGATCTAGGAGATCTGTCTCACTAACACTTATGCCACAGACGATCTTTGCATTTAAAGGGCCCAAAATAAGCTTTACTTGGTACACAGTTTGTGTGTGTGTGTGTGTGTGTGTCTGTTCATAATCTTCACCACCCTGGGTGTTGATAGTTTTGAGACCTGTGTCACAACTATGTTGCTGCTTACCTTGGTTCAGTGCTTGAATTATACACAGAAATTGTAGGGAGGCCCTTAATTAATTATGGCCAAATCACACCCCCTAGTAGCCTTCAAAAATAGTAGGTAAGCTGACTGTCATAAAAAGTAGGGTTTTTCTGCTGTCTTGGGAGCTAGTTGAAGCCCTGTCTTGGTTTTGTTTGTCATGGAGATCTCTTGATAATTCAGAGGGGTATGTATAATTGTTTTCTTTCCCTTCCATTATGGAACCTATCTGTATAGTCTTTATAAAGGACTTATTATTTACATTCAGCACATCATATTCCCTGCTGACCAGACTGAATAGTACTGGTACTGTTCCCCATTTTTTTTACTAAACACTTACTTCTACCCTCCTATTTTAGTTGCTAGCTGAAAAGAGATAAAATAGAACAAAGTCTGAGTCCAGTGGCACCTTTAAGACCAGAAACGTTTAATTCTGGGTATAAGCTTTTGTGTGCAGGCGTGCTTCATCAGATAAACTTCATCAGATAGTTACCCTGCTGTGCTGCGTTATCCTGTCCTGTACTATGGAGAGAGCAGCACTTTCTGCTCATCTGGCAAGAGATTCACCCTAGGGATTTTTAAAAATGGCTCAACGATCACTTTGAGAGATTGTCTGCAGTGATAAAGTGAAGCCCAGCAAGATTGCTTCCCTATTCTTGACAAAATTTTTGCCAGGAGTGGGTGTAATGTTTTGCTTGTGTCTGAGACCCCTTATATGTGACACCTGTAAAGGCACCTCTGTGTGGTGTTCTGAGGCAAGGTGTGTTATGCTGCTTCCTTGCCTTTCTTAGCATTTCCTACTTCTTATCGCCATCACCTAGTTAAACCCAAACAACAGGATGGTTTAGTTATATTTGGTAGAATGACAGAACAGTCAGCATATGGGGATGTCTCTGAGGTAAAAGGGGTCCTTTAGTCTAAATAAAACCAGCTGTTCTCTCAGACTCTAGAGCTCTTCACTCAATTCCCCACTTAACTCCAGAGTTCCTCATTCGATTCCCCACTCAACTCTCTTCTTCTCTCTCACACACTGAACTCTCTCTTCAGACCCAGTCATCTCTGTTCCGTAGGGTACCTCTACCATCCAGTCATAACACGCTTCAATCACCCATCCAGCCCCCCTCTTTCTTACTCTAGCTGCCTACGTTTTAAATCATAGCATCATACACATAAAACCCCACATCAAATCACAGAGTTAAAAACACAAAATATTTTCATCGCAAAACACCTCAGAGGAGATCTCATTTTTGCAGTTAAGGGCATTTTATTTTCTCAGGCAGCACTATGGTTTCAGAGAAAACTTTGTGAGCCCTGTAATGTTACGTTTTGCAACTTGCATTGCTGAAAATTAACTCCATGAAAATGTCACTCTGACTTATTGCAGACAGTTCTAGTCACTGGGAATATGACAAAATAAAAGGACCTGCTCTGTTGGGTTCCCCCACTCCCAGCTATGAGGAGCGAAGAGTTATGCTACTATTGCCCAGCCCAATCACAGAAAAGTACTGCATGGTGGGGAAACATCCTGTTGGAAGACTTATGTACGGCAAAGCAATTACTGAATCTGTTTTTCTCCATACGTCTGTTTCTTTTGTTTATATCTTTGTAACTTCGCTAACAACTGTCTGCCCTGACCTGGAATTTGATGCGCATTTTGGGCATGCATTTGTAGCATTCTAAATGCATTCTTGATAGCATGATAGTTAATGGTTGTGGCACAGAACCTTTCGATAGTTCCTTCAGGGAATTTCCCCCCCTGAATTTTTTAAAAAAATTATTATTATGAAACATAAAACTTAAATACCAGCTGTATAGAACAGAAATTCAAATGCTGCAAAATTTTGGACACTTTAATCTTACTCTCTTTTAAATAGTGGCCTTGTTTTATAAAGAAACCTCTCTGCAAAGAACTGCATTTTCTTGTGTGGCATTTGGGCTCTCCCCTGGTCTTTTAAGGAAAATAGATAGAGAAGTGAGAGGAAGTATTATGGTCCCAAAGGCTTGGATTTTGCCCATTGCAGACTTGAAATCTGTATTCCTCCACTGGTGCAAGCGTCATCAAATCACAGCTAACTTATGGCGACCCTATAGGGTTTTCAAGGCAAGAGACGAACAGAGATACTTTGTCCTTTCCTGCCTTTGCATAGTAACTCTGGATTACCTTGGTGGTCTCCAATCCAAGTATTAACCAGGCCCAACCCTCCTTAGCTTCTGAGATGTGGCAAGATTGGGCTAGCCTGGGCTATCTAGGTCAGGGCGTTCCTCCCTTAAGTAATTCTATTTTTTTTAAATCATGTTAAATGCTCATCAAGGGCTACTTCACTTTTTTTTTAAGATGTAGACCTTAAAATGTTAAATCATGAAGATAACACATGAATGGAAATGTTGATCATACAGGAACTCTTTTCAAGAAGACACAGTAGGCTCCTCATTGAGTGTTTAGTTAGTTTAGTTTATTTAAGATTTAGTAGCCCATATGCCATAAACCATTAAAAAAAAGACATGTTGACCATTCCTTGTTGAGTGTTTTGTTGGTGGTTAACCTTGGGGCTGCTACCACATAATGAATGAAATGGTTAACTTTTATCATCTCTGATGTGTTAATGTACATAATGGCTTGGCGGAGGCATTGCTACCTACTAAGCTTAATGACACAGTGATGTGAAACAGTTGATGCAGCCTTCCTGTTTTCCTGTAGGAATGCTCCCCTTACGCCGCTCATCTGTATGATGCTGAAGACCCTTCTACACCTGTGAAAACTGTGCCAGGACTTTGCCCTGACTACTGTGTGCAAGTGTGGCAAAACTGCAGGTCCATGTTCAAGTTGCTCTCTCAAGACAGGGAGTTACTGGCCCTGGAAAACAACATGGCGAAGTTCTGTCGTTACCTTGCCTTGGAGGACGCTGACTATTGCTTCCCTCACCTCCTGTCCAATAAGCGCCTTACTCAAAACCTTGGTTTTGTGACAGCCGACACTGAAGGATGTCTGCAGTTGTGCTTAGTGGAAGTCGCCAACGGGCTTAGGAATCCAGTTGCCATGGTGCACGCAAATGACGGAACTCACAGATTCTTCGTTGCCGAGCAGGTTGGCTTGGTTTGGGCCTACCTGCCAGATCGTTCACGGCTCGAGAAACCATTTCTAAACATCAGTGAAGCTGTACTTACCTCACCTTGGGAAGGCGATGAGAGAGGTTTTCTAGGTATTGTCTTCCATCCTAAATTCAAATTTAATGGTAAAGTGTTTGTCTACTATTCAGTTGAAGTTGGGTATGAAGAGAGAATCCGAATCAGTGAGTTCAGAATTTCTCCCGATGACATGAATTCTGTGGACCATAGATCTGAAAGGTATTGTATGCACATTTATCTGTCAAATTTCTTTTAAGATATTGGAGGGTAAAAGATTGACTTCTAAGAATCACTAATGAGGCCTGTGCACGTAAATTTGGACACAAATCTTAAAACGTTTGGTGTGTGGTTTGCTTATTAAGTGTGTGCATGCACAGATGCAGCCTTAAGCTGGGCTTTACAAGGCAACACCTGATTTGTTCATGAACAAGGGTTTTTCTACTGCTACCTTCTAGTAGCAGTCCCTTCACCATGCTCTGAAAAATGCCCCCCAACTTGCAATGGGATTCTCTGGAAAGAAACAGTAGTCTCCACCCATACATGCATTATGCAGATATAGACAGACCTCTCTGGATCTAGATTTTAGACACAAAAGTCTCAGCACAAAATTTGGCCAGTTTAGAGTTGGTCTCATTGGAGTGGTCTTCAAAGAAGAGATAAGTATAGAATTTTTCAGATTTTCCTGGGGACTTGTATAGAATAGGGGTGAGCCCGTTTGCGGGGAGGGCGGGGTAAAAATGCAATAAATAAATAAATAAAATAAGAAGTAGAATGGATGTCTTTATAAAATTGACAATGTAACAACACATGTTCTATTGTTTCGACTGCGTTCAGTGGGCAGGAACACAGACGTTGAGGATAGGGAATATGTAAGTATCTCCCTTCCAATAGCTCTGAGGGCAGGCAATTAAAACGGGCTAAAGTGAAAGCTCTGCAGTATTTGGGGAATCCGAAGGTGTAAAGATAGTTCTCCACAATGTTTTGGCTGTAATGTGGACAGAGATGTGCCCAAGCTATATCCCAGATTCATTGTCTGAGTATTTCTTCAGCTCCCGAGCACCCAAGATGGCACATGGCTAAGGGGGAGAAGCCAAGCAGTTGCATTTTTATTCTCAGCCGCATCCACCCAACGTGAGTGGTGGCTCTCTGCAAGAATCAAGAGGGTTAATCCAGATGGGTTAATGCTTAGCTTCAGCCAGAAACATATAGCTTGATACCAGCTACGAGCTTCAAGTGCATCTGCCCCGATTCTATTCTGAGAAGTGCATTTGGTATGCACCAAGGAACATCAAACATACCTCTAAGGAATTTAGACTCAACTGCTTCCAGAGGATGGAAGTCTTTGTACAAACAGCTTTGTGAACCGTACAGGAGATGAGGTGTCATTTAACCTTGGAAAACTTTAAACACGTTGGGGATATGTGAGCCCCCTTTCATGTAGAAAAATCTCAGAATAGCCAATGTCAGTCTTTGGGCACTCTGATTAACCTGGGTCACATTTTATGATTTAAACCCCACGTTCATCAGTATTCCGTGCACTGATTGGAACGAGAGCTTTGTTACGTTGAGTGTTCAAAATCAAAGTTTTGTTTTGGTTAAAAATGCTAAATTTGGTGTAGAACCGGGTTTGATTCCCTAGTCCTCCACATGCAGCTGCTGGTATGACCTTGGGTCAGTCACAAGTTCTGGCACAGCTGTCCTTGAAAAAGAGCAGTTTGCGTCAGAGTTCTCTCAGCCCCACCCACCTCACAGGGTGTCTGTTGTGGGGAGGGGAAGGGGAAGGAGGTTGTAAGCCGCTCTGAGACTCCAAGTGAAGGGCGGGGTATAAATCCAATCTCTTCTTCTTCTTCTAAATTCACTGAACTCAAAAGCAGGAATAATTGAGGGTTGCCGCTGAAGGCAATAGTTAGCAGAGTTACAGTACAATCCTAAACAGAGTTACTCCTACAGGTATTGAAGTCAGTGGGCTTAAAAACTTAGACTACAGTTCAGGGAAATCCCATTTCTAATTTTTCAGAAGTGCAACATCCTTCGTATGCTGGCTTAATCCTAACCATGTCTGTATAGAAGTTACTCCCACTAGTGCTAATGGGCATTTCAAGGATACTTGATTAGGACTGCCATCTTAATAGAATAGTCACAGGAAAAAGTACTGTATCGGTTTCAAAACAAATTCATCCCTTTCTGGGGAAAAGGGGATCCATTGAATGACAGGATCTGTTGAGTGACAGGAAGCTGGGATGGGGTGGAATTAAAGTAGGGGGCCAACAAAACGTGCTGGCTCCTTAGATGGGATTCTACTTAATTGAACTCCATTTTAGATTTTCCCAAGGTTTTTCTTCCCTGGATCACATCCGCTAAGAATCCCAAGGATTTTTTCTTCCTCTCATTTTCTCCAGCATGTGGTTTGGCTTCCTTGTTTTCGGACATCTGGGTGTGTTTACTGAACTGTTCTGTGTCTACAGACACCTTTGGCTTGGTGCCCTTTGCTTACTCTGAAGCTCTGTCTGCTTTTGACACACTATAATCTGGATAATATGAACTGATCTACAATAGAGTTCATGTGGAGACTTTGCATGTTTGTCTAGATGTACCCCATTTTCCTTCAGGCTCTACAATGGTATGAATTGAAGGAGGTCACATGGGTCACAATTGCTACGAGAGCCAGTTTGCTGCGGTGGTTATGTTCGTGGACTCTAATCTGGGAGAACCAGGTTTGATTCTCCACTCCTTCACGAGCAGCTGCTGGTGTGATCTTAGGTCAGCCACAGTTCTCTCAGAGCTGTTCTCTTGAGCAGTTCTCTCAGAGCTCTCTCAGCCCCTCCTACCTCACAGGGTGTCTGTTGTGGGGAGAGGAAGGAGATTGTAAGCTGCTCAGAGACTCCGAGTGAAGGGCGGGGTATAAATCCAATCCCTTCTTCTCTTCTACGTCCATTCTCCAGAGACTGAAAAGCTTTGCACATGTTCATGTAAGGGAATCTTCAGAGTTGGTCAGTCAGTGCCTTGTTATTTAACTATCTGCATGCGCCCTCTGTGCTTTTTAGTTGAGCTTCTCACTATGCATCTGTGTTGGAGCTTTCTATGCTTTTTCTTGAGTTTGTGCAGAGTGACGTCAAGGTCAGTATTGTCTACTCAGACTGGCAGTGGCTCTCCAGGATCTCAGACAGAGGTCTTCCACATCACCTACTGCCTGGTCCTTTTAACTGGAGATGCTGAGGACTGAACCTGGGACCTTCTGCATGCCAGGTAGATGCTCTGCCACTGAGCCGTAGCCCCGATAGTGGTCTCCCATCCAGGTACTAACCAGTGCTGACCCTGCTTAGCTTCTGAGATCTAAAGAGATCAGGCTAGCCAAGGCCATCCTGTTCAGGTCACTCAAGAAGCAGGGTAATGTGATGCATAAAAACTCATCACAAGCAAACATGTACCTGTGATCTTGTGGACAGGACTCAAGCCTGCGTGGGGTCATGCATAGCCACTGAGATCTGGCTAAGGGAAAGAAATGTGGGTGGAGGTAGGGGCATCAGCTAAAGAAACTTCCTTATAGCAAGAGCCCAGACAGGGGTTGATTGATATTCTCAGACCTCTGTAAAAACTTAAGGACTGCTCTGAGCAACTTACACTGTGATCCTAAGCAGAGTCATGTCTATGTGTGTTAAGTGCCGTCAGGTTGCTTCCAATTTATGGCAACCCTATGAATTAATGTCCTGTTATTAACACCCATTCTCAGATCTTGCAAACTGAGGTCCGTGGCTTTGCTAATGGAATCAATCTGTCTCATGTTGCATCTTCCTCTTTTCCTGCTGAGTTACACCCTTCTAAGTCTATTGACTAATGGACTTAGAAGGGTGTAGATCAGCTTAGGCTCACACTGTAAGGCGGCTTCCACACGGCAGGGATTCTCTGTTTTGTTTTGGATTCTCTGTTTTGCTTTGCTTAGACAATGCTGGGGCCCGTGTTTTGGTAATGGAGTTCCCACATGGGGACTTTTCTGTGCACTTCCCTGCATCTTCCCCTCTCCCAGCTTTTCTCTTCCACATATGTGCCACATATGCTCTGCAGAAAGTGGCCATCCCTTCTGTTGTTGTTGTTTTCTTCTTCATGCATGTGCTATAGCAAAATATCAGTATAGTATCTGCCTGCCTGAAGTGCCATTCTGAACTTTTGTTTCCTTTATTGGTATATGGAAAAATCCCTGCACTGTGGACTTGGAAATGATTGGTTGAGCAGTGAATTTCTGCCTGTTATGCAGCTGCCCCCTCTCCATTCCTTTCCAGGCAATCTGGACAAAAACTGCCTGCACCTTTCCTCTTTATCTATCTATCTATCTATCTATCTATCTATCTATCTATCTATCTATCTATCTATCTATCATCTATCCACCCACCCATCTATCCGTCCATCCGTCCGTCTGTCTGTCTGTCTGTCTATCTGTCTATCTATCTATCTCCCCACCCGTCCATCTGTCTGTCTTGTCTGTCTGTCTATCTACCCACCCACCCACCCGTCTATCCGTCCATCCGTCTGTCTGTCTGTCTGTCTGTCTTATCTATCTATCTATCTATCTATCTACCCACCCGTTCATCCGTCTGTCTTGTCTGTCTGTCTATCTACCCACCCGTCTATCCGTCCGTCTATCCGTCTGTCTGTCTGTCTGTCTATCTATCCACCAGTCTGTCCGTCTGTCCGTCCGTCCGTCCATCCATCCATCCATCCATCCATCCATCCATCCATCCATCCATCCATCTATATCTATATATAGAGAGAGACTTCATTTTTTAAAAAAGAAATGACAACTAAGGTTTCAGAAGAACTGAAATTTGTCATGGAAACAGATAAGTTGCGATAGATCATTATAGCAGTTAATGGGGTTTTTAAAGAAAAAGTCCACCAAAAGCCCTGTAGTAATGCAGTTGGGAAGAAAATTGTGGTCAAATGTCACACAAAGGGATAATGAGAGAATAGCACCAATGTGGGCAGGACCTTTGGAGCCTGGGAAAATGTGACCCATTTCTTCCAGACAGCGTGATAACATGCTTGGACGACATAAGATCACAGTAAACAGCTTTGCAAAAGAGTGTATTGAGGATGGCGAAAACTTGGAAAGAGAGCAGTTATAGAACAACATCATGTGGAAGCTCCAAAACAAGTGCTTCTGTTTGGAAGCCAAAGTGGAGGAGAATCTACATGTGGAAGCAGCTTTGGAGACCTGATTTTGC